AAGTATGGCGCATACATCACGTAAATAAGTTACCTAAAATGTTTGAAAACCAGCTTAAAAAAGACTGTGACATGACATCATGTCACACGGTCCCACGTGGCCGAAAGAGTGTGGTATGACATCATACCACACGGTCGTCAACGTGTTAAACTCCTCAAAAGTCTGAAGAAATTGGCAGACCCTTCAGCGCAACCTGGAGGGCGGAAGTGGTGTAGTGGCAAGTGGCGCGCTTACCACGCGAGCGGTCCGGGATCAAATCCTGGGTCGTGTCGCCCGGGCCAACCAAGCCTTCCATCCCTCCGGGGTCGGTTAATTGGTACCAGACTTGTCTGGGAGGATAAAAAACACTGACTTGTACATCGGCTGGCCCCCGCAAGTCATTGTATAGGCCACATCGCATTCAAACGCCACTACGAATGTACAAATGGAAGTAGAATGCGTGCCGCATCCCAAAAAGGGATTGATCAACGGCAAATGCTTTATCCTTTATCCTTTTATAAGGCAACTTCGACAACTTTCCACCCCTTTTTTTTCAGTAAGACCCTTCACCCTTCCCCAAAACAAGCGAAACACGAGCACTATCCTAGAGCAAATACGACGCCCTTGCGGGGATTACTCGGCGAAACCCCTCCCTTAGGAGTCGCTGTAATAAAAACGTAAGTGGCTAATGAATCCATGTCCAGCCTACACAGTGACGTTTTATACATAGATGAGTCGATGTACAAAGCATTACATTTATTCTCGCGAGTAGGTTTCGCTGTAATTGACCAAGCACAGTTAAAGAAGAAGTTTGATAATTTAGAGTAAAATCTGCTCCTAATGACTCCCGGACCAAGGAGGCGATAGAAGATTCGCTTCCCTCAGTCATGCCAATTTTTGCTGTGGAAATAAATCTGATGATCGCTTCTAGAGTGGCTGCGGTTGCTGACAGCCCCTGTGAATCGAAAGCAATTCATTAGAAGGAGCTGCACCAAAAATGCACTGACGTCAGGTGGCCCTTCCCGCTTCTCCAGCAAACTGAGCGCATTTTCACTTGATTAGTGCAACTAAATGAAAATTAAGAATACAGATGAAGCATCAAATGTTTGTAGCTTTTTTTTGTGGAATGCGCCAGGCATACGCTTCAAGAAGTGTTTACCAAAGTCCACAAAATCGACAGGAAATCAGTGTCTGACAATTAGGTGGATGTTGCGCTTACGTACTTGTCTCCCAGTCGATTCATATTTTACTTACTTTTAAACAAAACTTTTCACATCTTATATGACCATTTGGGATACGCCACATACCTGAATAAAAGTCTGTATCGTAAAAAAAAACGTTTGGTGCGTACTTTTAAGGATTAGATGGGTTGCAACATTTAGGTAAGTTTGTAAATTACACCAAGCCAAAACTGAGCAATTAACGGCATAGCAAAGTACGCAAGACCAATCGTTTATGAAGTTATCTTTGAAGTGAATTCTTCTCCCAACATCAACCTCATAGATATGAACGGTTTTTTAATTGAACAACTACAATTGCAAACGATCATCTGAAGCGGCTCCGCTGAACTCCCTCACTGTTTTAATTTTCAGAGTTCTTCCCGAAAACACTGCTCATTCCAGAACGTCACAATATGGGACGTTTCGCTGTTACATTGACGGTAGCATAAAAAAAAAACTGAGCAGCATCATGGAAAGACCGCAGTGACTACCCGCCA